AAGCTGACTGCATTTTAAACTTTATCCAAGTTTAAAATAAAACTATGAACCGCTCCATTGTGAACATATGAGCTGTATGAACCACTAACTTACAAGCTGTAAAGTAAACGGGAAGTGTTTGTTCGAACTCAACTGGTTTTGCGAGAGAACGCAAAAGTTTTGGGAGGGAACGCAAAGTTTCTCGGGGGAATGCAAAATTTTGCGAGAGAATGCAAAAAAAAAAATTTTCCACCCACCCCGATTTTTTTTTCCACCACCATGTCCCTTTAGGGTCTCCGTAATACGTCTACTTAACTACATTTAAATATTATATTGATGGTCAGGTTAAAAATAAAAAGTATCCTGGTTTGACTAGGAAATAATTTTGTTTACACCAATTTGTTTTAAACCATTATATTATATTATATTATATTTCACATGTAATGTCTATTAAAATGTAATATATTTTTAGATAAATGTATATATTTTACATCATGGTGTCATATGCTTAATCAGTACTGATTTAAGCTTTAAATACTCAAAACTCCAAATCTGCTTTACTTTGCGACAGAAATCACTGATATTAATAAGTTCAGTAAGTAAATTCATTAGGTGGATTTTTCAGATTAAACCAGTAACTAATGAGTTTTGAACCATTAAAAGAACTGGCTCAGAGTCATTTGTCCATGAATCAGACCACACTGGCTGAATTTTATGTTTCTGATTTACTAAAAAGAACTGGCTCAAATTAAATTTTAGTTGTGAGTTGTGAATCAGACACCTCAATAAAAAGACATGACTTCTTGTCATCAGCTTTTCACATTAAATTTGAACTGCAAACTCATTTACACAACTTGGATTTAATACGATTATTTTTGGTGTGGCGAAGTAGATTTAACAGCAATGCTAAAAGTGTTGCAGGAAACACTGCCATTCACAAGCTCACAAAATTATGACTCCGTACCAGTACAGTACTTAACATAATAACAGTACTTACATAATGAACGTGTGATCTTTACAGGTAAAAGGGAAGGGTAATCACATCAGTGGTCAAATTATGAATAACAGCCATTTACAAATTACGTAAACTTATAAAAAATAAATTAAATAAACCTACACTCCTTCTGCAGCGCTTGCCTTAAACTGCCATGGTGACCAGGTACATACTCACAGAAACAACATCTTTTCAACCAATGAATCAGACCAAAGTTACATAACACTACAAAGAGTGTTTGTTCTGCTGTTAAAAGCAATCAATACAGATACTGAACTGAGCACGGCGTTTAGATAAATTCCAGAAATTAAGCACTACGGTTTACTGCATGCTTCACCTATCACCTATCCACTCCTATTAGTGTCTGTGATAAACACAGAGAGAAAAAAAATTGATTCTTTGTAATGTCAAAATGGTCACGGTCACCTCTCTAGAAGCGCACAGTCTCCACTAACAGCCAATCTTCTTATTAAACAGCGAGAATGGAAAACGACAGTCTAACATATTTTAAATATGTCAGGGAACATCTTAAACAGACTAGGGCTGGACGATATGGCCAAAATTGATATCACGAAGTGCTCCGAGTCGCTGCAGAAAACAAAAAAATTGAACAACAAAAACTGGAAATGTTGCTGGAGACGGGCTTATTTAAAATGAAAACTCATGCTCTGCTAGCAGGAGGCGCTTTTAGAGTGATAGAACTAGCGGTTTCTCCAGTAATGGCTGTAATCAAAGCAGCTCCGCTCATGAACGCTTCTTTATCAGATCAAATGAAAATGCCATCGAAACTTTTCTGAAGACAGTCGGTTCCCTTCACAGATACATTTATATAAAACACCCGCGACATTTTTTGATTTTGAAACGTGCAGTGCTCATGTTTATTCAACGAAGTCAAACGGCACAAATAAATCAATGTATGGGAAACACTGGTAATGTATATCGAAATATCGGAAATGTGTTTAAAAATCTTATCACCGTTATTGAAAAAAATTATATCGCGATACATATTGATATTGAATTATTGTCCAGCCCTAAAACAGACTAATGAATAGCAAAGAACTTAACCAGAATTGAACCATCCCTTATTTGGGAAAAAGGCTCTGCAAATGTGCTTGCATTCAGAACATACTACACGCAGCAGGGATTTGGCTAACTCTAACACACACACACGCTTTCAGATGGCCGCCTTAATACCCCAGGGGACATTACTGCCCTCGCCGCAAGTGTGCAGTCCCTCTCGGCAGCCTCCCATCCAAACTGAATTATGGGTTGACAGCCCCAGCTGTGACCACTCTGGAATCTGGACTACAGCGGAGAGAAAACAGCTGTGGAAGCCATCATAAGAAGTCTATGAGACATAGAGAACCACCTCACACCCAACAACTACAGTACAATACCTTAAGTATAATTAGACTGAATGCTACAGTAAAAAACAGCCAACTTTAAATACCATATTCAGCAAAAAACTCCAAATGGTTTAACAATCGAATTATATGTACTTTTACGGTAAACTACTTTTTTTATTGTTTGTGGAAGTAAAAACTATGAATTACCTTTTCATTTACAGTGAAAATAGTGAACATTATCATATTCAGTGAAAAACTCCAAATGATTTAACAATCCCACTGCATGTACTTTTACTGTAAACTACTGTTTATTTTATTGTTTGTGGAAGTAAAAACTAAGAATTACAGTGAAACAGTGAAAATTACTTTACCATATTCAGTAAAAAACTCCAAATGGTTTAACAATCCCATTATATGTACTTTTACTGTATATTACCGTTTATTTTATTGTTTGTAGAAGTAAAAACTATGAATTACCACATAACTTACAGTGAAACGACATTCCCAAAAGTTCCTGTGTGACATTATATTTTGTATAAATAATTTAGTTTCTTCTTATTTTTGTTATTATTAATGTACATCATGGTGTTTTAAGTTACATTGTATGTTTATTGCGTTATTTTAGCGTCATGTGGTACCCTGATGGTGGCCAGTGTAAACTGGTCACTGTTTCCTGATCCTGGGAGAGTAGACTACAATGCCGGCTGTTTTTATATGCGTTTTTATATGCAGTACGATTTTTATATTAAAGAATTTGCCACTGACGATTCAAACGTGAGTTTTGAGCAGTGTAAAGTAGCGCTTGTTGTTTGTCATTTCTCCGATCACAAATGCAGACATGGTTTTATGTTTACGCGGCGCGATGCAACGCGTAAGAAGACAGTATATGTCATTTATAATTGGTTTTAATGTTTTTGTCTCGTTGCTCCGGCCAGACAGGGCATCATCACAGTATGGTAAGGGGCGTAACATTTCCGTCACACGCTTGAGGTATTCGGCCAATCACAACGCACTGGATAGCTGGCCAATCACAGCACACCTCGCTTTTTCAGACCGATGAGCTTTGTAAAAATCGCATAGAGGAGCAACAATAATGTACAGTATGTGGAAAATAATGTGTTTCTTGAACCTTAAACCGCATAAACATTTCATTACACCAAATACACAAAATAGTGTTCTTTTTAGCAACATCATATGACCCCTTTAACATTATATTACTTAAATAAATCAATGTATGGCTACAAATTGTAAAATATACTGTACAGGCACCAATGCCGTCCCACAATGGCGAAAACATTGGCACAGTATTTTTATTTTATTTTTTCGAGTTAACTTCTAGTAATGTAATGCAATTTTTTAACAATAAATTTAACATTTTTCAACCGTGTATAATAACAGGTGACAAAACCATAATAAGTTGGGACAATCTTAACACACACTTCAATAGACAAGTATACTCTTGTTTGAGTGGCCTGACAAACAGCATATCAAATAATCTAACAATGACATCACTGTGAAAGAGCGAAACTCTCACAGTAACAATGAACTTTCTGATAGCCCTAGGCATGGTGTAACTATTTTTACATGAGCAAATACTTGACTAAGATTTGTAAACTTAAATCCAAGCATATCGTCAAGAAATACAACCAAGATTTTTGCGCAACACATACACGTCCAGCCTGGGAATTGACTTTGACTAGAATTATGCAACAAATAAAGGTCTGCTCAAATCACATTTTATTTAATGGGCATATACAAAACACAGAAAGTGACATTTATAGTGAAATACTATAATTTCTGCTAATTATATAAAGTTACAGAAGCTCTACAGAATAAACAGTCATAGAGCTCACACACAGAGAATGAATTTCCAGCTTTCCCTATGATCTCATCTGACTCTTTTTACAGCCTTGAGCGGCAAAATTCTTTCTATTATCAAACAGGCCAAATGAATACCATCAACCGTGCCAAACGTTCCGCTCGAGTTTCCTTTTTGATAAAGTGATGTCTAAAAGAGCTGATTTATGAAATCGAGCAAGTCTGAAAGCGGCTTATCCTCACAAACAACAGAATAACAATCACTGTAATGAAAGCCGATTACCTGAAGTAACGAGTCATGCCTTAAATGTGTGTCTGGGTGTTAAAGAGACAGGGGAACGTGGACACTAGCACGGCTGTTTTTAAGAACAGGGTTAATCACAAAGACTATAGAATACCCAAGACGTGTCACTCGTATAGTTTTGAATGAGGAAAAATGCAACGCTCAATATGGCCGCTCAATCGCAGGAAGCCCCGCCTTCTGAATGAAAGAGCCAATCGCTAATCCGTAAAGTCAGAGTGTCACTGCAGCTGCTGTTAGAAGTCCCGGTTGCTATAGAAACAGTCAGCGTTCTGAGACGTGCGCTTAGGACTGCGCATGCGCACTGGCTGATCTAGCCTGAAAAATAAGCTTTTTATAACGCTATTTGAGCAAACGTAACAACACTTATGACACAGTCGTTTTCAGATTTCCTCGGTGATTTCAAATATGAAATTTAATTGTAAGCTTAGTGAACAGTTTTGGAGAATTTGATGTTTCCCCATTCAAAGAGATAGGAGTTGCACTTGCATGCCCAAGAGGCGTTTCAAAGATGGCCGCCGAGTGACATGACTTGTCTTAAAAGGACTTTGCTAATACTCACCATTGTTGGTGTGCCTGACGCAGTCTTGAAAGACAGCGTTCCACTTTTGCTGCTCCTTCTCCGTCACCACGCAGAAATAGTAGTGACAAGCATAAGGATGCCAGAGGATGAGGGGAAACTGCGTCGCACATTTCAGGAATGGAGAACTGCCAACTTTAGCTTTTACACCTGCAAAACGCATGTTACATGATTCAATATTCTATTAAAAGCGGCCTTATGAGAAGATCTCCATAGTCATACAGCTGCACAACATACAAAGATCACAGCCCATTACTTTACATTCCATTTCATCATTTCTTATCTAGACTCTGGCTAAACTCTACTCTACATTTATTTAAAAGAAAGGCTGCAAGTTCAACACACACAAAAAATTTTTTTTTATTATAGCATGGCACTTACAGTGGGAGTACACAGGTAATAAATATTTGGTTTTAAATGTCATAACCACATGACTTAAACATTCTACATGTTCACATGAGTCTTGTGTGATAGAGTCGTTTACTGACCTTGACTGTAAAGTTATCTAATCTTTCAACTTCTCTGCCATGACAACATGACGCTAGTAAAAGCCAGGTAACCAGTAACTTTTGCTTAGTTTTATAGAGTATAGCTTAGTGCTGGGCGGTATACCGGTTCATACCGAATACCGGTGTTTACTCAATCAGTGGAAAATATGGTTAACACCCGGTCATGCATGAAAAAAAAAAATACACCGTCATGTACCGTGAAACCGGTATAATTTTGAAAAATACCGTGATATAAATTTTTGGTCATACCACCCAGCACTAGTATAGCTTTCCTTTGGGAAAATTCCTTAAGAACTCTCTTCCTCCCTGAGGTTTTTCCATCTGTCTTTTTCATTGTCCTCTCACTCCTTCAGACTGACCTGGTAGGCTGGTGTTAAGGAGCTCGAGATATTCTTCCATAGAGGTCAGGACCCTGTAGCCAGCACAGTTAATGGTGCCTTTAGGATGCAGCCCTCTGTCATGAGCCTAAATGAAAAGAAACAGATAAAGAAAGCCGTTTTATTTCAAATGAATAAATGACTAAATAAAAAAATATATTTAAAAAAATAATTAAAACACATTTATTCATTTAAACTTCTGGAATCATCAAATGGTTAATGGTGCCTTTAGGATGGACGATTATCAGTCAATTCCAATTTTTTGCATTTTGTATTATTACACTCATTACCTGTTTGTTTTCATAATAGTTGATGTTGTAGGAGTCAGGAATAAAGAGAAAACGATTCCTCCATTTTTTGTTCTCTTCTAGATACTGGAACAAAGCACCTGAGAAGATGGACTTATTCTTTAGAGGCACCTAAGAAACACAAGAATTGAAATGTGGTTCAAATAAGGTACGGTTTAAGCAGAGAGACAGTGAGAAAGAGACAGTTGTCCCTCTATTTTCAGTAAGGACCCAGCACCTAATTATACATTATGTAGAGAGATGTTAAGACTGGGAGTACTTAATTTGTAACAGTGTACAAACTCAACTTTAAAGGGTCATACTGTGATAATACTAAATAAACAAATCTATGCGTTTTCAAACATATCAATTTTTTCCCCAATTCCAATCTGGTTCGACATCACAGACCACCAGGCCTATGAGAAATAACCCTGATTTAATTAGTTTCACTTGCACCTTTAAAAAAAAAAAAAAAAGACAAATAGGGCTGAAAAAGAGGAATAGAAAAGGGCTTTACCTTCCTATGCAGGAGCTGATTCTGAGGTCCTCCTCCACCCTCAATGTCAAAGCGCATCTTGTTAAAGAGAGCGACTGCATACTGCTGCTCATATAGCCGACCAAACTCTCCCATCAGCTCCCCTGTCCGTGCTAAGACACACACACACACACAATTAATGAACATACATAGAACTCAAACCACCAGCATGATTATTATACATTACAAACAGTATTATATTACAGATAAGTTAGAAATTAAAAAGTTATAAATGTCTAACGTAAAAATAATGTTTTCATATTCCAAACAATAATCTCGATCAGTCCATTAGTTCGCAAAAATACACTTAATCAAAAAGAAAAAACAAATCTTTAAATACACCTAGAGTTAAAGGAAGAACTGGTACTGTATAAAATATGCACATACCAAATATGATCAAAACCCTTGTGAAATATATATTAGCATGACATAATCGCTTAAACAGCCTTTTTTTCTAAAACTCTGATATTCCCTTCCAAGTCATATCATGCTTGCCTGGTAGGTTTCCATAGTAAGTGTACTACTATAGCCAAATAACTTAACTCAAATAAAACATAAATGAATAATAAAATTAAACATTCTGTATAATAATAATAATAATAATAATAATAATAATAAAAAAACACTGATAAAAAGTTATGCAAACGCAGCAATAAAAATATATATATATATTATGTGAAAGGCAGTTCCATTAAGATTTTACATATTGTAGGCCACTGCAGGCCTACAACAGATAGTTACGGTACAATGAATCAATGGGCATTAAACATTAACAACAATTCACGCCAAGCTCCATGTATCTGATCAGAAGAGGGGATTACAATGTTTGAGCTTCACTGCTTTGTCCTTCACATGCATGTAAAAGCAGATCAACGCTGCAGTTGGCACAAGAACAAAGACAGCTCCATTATTGACTGCTTTCTGGCGGGATGTTGTCCAAATGACTATGTAGGGCTTGTTGTAAAACTTTGGAGGCATTCAGTCTCTTGGAAAGACTAAGGGAAATGGAACAAAAAAACCAAAACAAAACAAAGGCCTCCTGTAGCGAATCGATGTGTTTTTGCAAGAAAAATATCCATATTCAAAACATAATAATCACTTTAATCTAGCTTGCGCTCACTGTTGTACATGGAAGCAGCTCCGGGAGCATGACGTAAGACATCGGCTTTGCGCATGCGCCGCTCGGAAGTGACGAACGCGGAAGCGCAGGGGAGAGATCAAAACAAAACAACGGTCACTAATTAGAAGTACAAAACGAGGATTTGTAAAGAAGAATGTCGGAGGATTTCGATATAAGCCAAGAGGAGACTGGTTTTCCTTTGCTAAAGTAAGGAAACTTTGCTTCCTTTGATCCTGTAAACAAACGTTGGTTTTCACGAGACTCACCAGCGCATGCGCAACGC